TCTGATGTTGTGTGACAGTTTGTTGTTGTATGACAGTCTGATGTTGTATGACAGTCTGTTGTTCTGTGACAGTCTGTTGTTGTATGACAGTCTGATGTTCTGTGAAAGTCTGATGTTGTATGACAGTCTGATGTTGTATGACAGTCTGATGTTGTGTGACAGTCTGTTGTTGTATGACAGTCTGATGAACAGGGTGCTAAATTATTATTTTATATATGAATATTTTTCTGTTCAGTGCCTGAGACGACTTCTGTTTTGACTTGGAGCTACAGAAATAAACTGAATTGAATTTAATCGAGGTAGAAGGAAAGAAAGTTCAGCTGATGTTTGGAGCTAAAGGTTTTATTTCTGGAGGTTTGGTCTCAGCTGGAACCAAAACCAAACATTTTCTGTAACGTGTTGAAGGTAAACGGGCAAAAATCGCTGAACAGAAGCTAAAATCAGCTCAACCGGCTAGGAGCTAAAAAAAAAAGGTAAAATAGTTAGATGGAGGACAGAAGCTAAAGCTAAAACTAGCCTTAGGAGAGAAAAGACAGCAGCTGAAGCAGACTTTAATGAAGACAAAGTTTCTGAAAAAACTAGATCTCGGTTTAATTAAAGGTAAAATGTTTGTAAATAAAGTTAAATATTTTGAAAGAACTAATAAAAGTAGAAAAATAAGAAAAGTTGCAGCTCCCATCTCCTGAAGGAGCTGAAGGTTTGGTCGTACAAACAGCTGAAGGTGTGCAGGAGTGAATTCAGAAAAGAGCTGAAGTGGAGCCGTCTTCTTGTTCACTCACTCACTGTTTAATCAGTGGTTGAAACGTGCACTGACGTGAGCATGCACGTGTCCTGCAGGTGACAGCTGCTGCAACCCGCTCAGCCTGGGCTTCTTGAAGAAGACCATCGAGGAGGAGATCCCTGGGATCTACGTGATCTCCCTGATGATCGGGAAGAACGTGGTGGAGGTACGATCCAGCTGCTGGAACATCTGGAATCGTTCCGGGAGGTCCGGTCATTTTAACAACAGAACCAGGACCGGTCAGAGCAGCTTCCCTCATCTCTGCTTCTTGGGTTTTCTGTTCTGAACCGGGTCATTAAAGAGAACCGTCTCATGTCTGCCCCCCCCGGTCCATCCATCCGTCCTCAGCTGCTGAACAAAGTCCAGATGTTTTCAACTGGTGTTGTTCCGTGTCCTGACAGAGTCTAACCAACATGTCGCCTCTTCGTGTTTTTACAAACTGAAAGTTCCTCTGCAGCGCCGCTCGGTCCGTCCAGATCCTCGGTCCTTCCAGACCCTTGGTCCGTCCAGATCCTCGGTCTGCCCAGATCCTCGGTCCTTCCAGATTCTTGGTCCGTCCAGACACTCGGTCCGTCCAGATCCTTAGTCTGTCCAGATCCTCGGTCCGTCCAGACCCTTGGTCCTTCCAGACCCTTGGTCCGTCCAGATCCTCGGTCTTCCCAGATCCTCGGTCCGTCCAGACC